ACCATGGTAACGGCGGGGCAGGGGGTGCTCAGAATCTCTGGTGGAGGTTCGGTTGCCACCTACGACGACTCGACCTGGCAACTTATAACGCACGCACCCTGAGGACTGACGAGAAGATCCTGGAGCTGGAAGAAGAGATAGACAAGTTGCGCTGGAATATCCTTGAATGCGCTGCATTACCCGAAGTCCGAAGAGGGGGGGAGGACACGGTAATCCTCGAATCCGGCAATTTGTTCTATCACCGGGAGGGCGACCATCTGTCCCAAGGAGGTGTCGGATTTATCGTCCACAAGTCTCTCGTTAACAACGTTGTAAAGATTGGGAGTGTGTCGACGAGGGTTGCGTACCTTATACTCAGAATCACCAAACGGTATTCGCTGAAGGTCATACAGGTTTACGCACCAACCTCGGCACACCCCGATGAGGAAGTGGAGGAAATGTATGAGGATATCTCTAGAGCCATGAATTTCTTCAAAACCCACTATACGGTGGTAATGGGAGACTTCAACGTAAAACTAGGCACAAGAGAGAACGGTGAGCTGAAAGTAGTGAATTTCGGAATAGGGTAACGGAAACCAAGGAGCCAGCAGCTGGCCGACTTCATAGAGAAAGAGAGACTCTTTATGATGAACTCTTTCTTCCAAAAGCGGCCCCACAGGAAGTGGACCTGGTCGAGCCCCGACGGTTCGACAAAAAATGAGATTGATTTCATTATGACGACCAGAAGATAACTGTTCAGTGATGTCTCAGCAATCGCGAGAGTGAAAACCGGCAGTGATCACCGAATGGTGAGAGGCACACTGAACCTAAACGTTAAGTTGGAGAGGTCACGTCTAATGAAGTCAACGCTCCGTTCCCCTCGTACTCTAATCCAAAATCCCGAAACCTTTCAGCTCGAGCTACAAAACCGTTTTCAGTGCCTAGAATGCAGTAGACGATATGAATGACAAGCTCGTGGAAACTGTCCATACGGTCGGAGCTAAGTTTTGCAAGACCCGCCGCAGAAGAACACAAAAACTCTCCGATAACACTCTTAATCTCATAGCTGTTAGACGGGATACGAAGCTGCAGTCTTCAGTAGATTTGACAGCATACAGGCAACAGAACAGACAGATCTCCAAATGCATGCGGCGGAACTTACACAACTTTAATACTGCTCGTATTAAAGAAGCGATCGAGCGGAACCAGGGCTCCAAAGTCTTCAAGATCTGTCTGCCAGAAAGAGCCAACTATCGAAGCTGAAGACCGAGTGTGGCAGTGTCGTTTCCGGGACACCTGAGATTTTGAGTGAGATTGAGAGGTTCTATGGGAGGCTGTACACATCATCGTTGGAGCCACACGCAAGTGTGAGTAACGATCCAAGAGCGAGTCTTACACACAGACGCTATTCCGATGATATCTTGGTCGTCAGTCTGAGCCAGATTAGAATGGCTCTACAGCACCTTAAAAACGGCAAGGCCCCAGGCGAGGATGGAATTACAGCGGAGCTTTTGAAAGCGGGTGGAAAACTGGTACTTGAAGTCCTTCAGAAGCTCTTTAATTCCGTCCTCAATGGTGGCATTACACCGGAGGCGTGGGGCAGAAGTGCTGTGGTCTTATTCTTCGAGAAAGGTGACAACGCTCTCTTGAAGAACTACAGACCGATTTCCCTTCTGTGCCGCGTCTACGTGCTGTTTTCGAGAGTCATTACGAATCGTCTCGCGCGCCTACTTGACGACTTCAAGCCTCCCGAACAAGCCGGTTTCCGAAAGGGCTTTAGCACCATAGACCACATACATACCCTTCGGCAAAGAAGAAGTCCGAGGAGTACAATTTGCCACTATGTCTGGCGTATGTGGAGTCCACATCCATCCATCAAAGGCTTTCTATGTGGCTATAAATGTGGACTATGAGAAAGCCTTTGATTCCGTCGAAATTTGGGCGGTGCTGCAGTCCCTTCAGCCAAGTTGACTGTCGGTATATCGAAGTGCTGAAGTGCTTGCACAGTAGGGCTACGATGGCTATCCGAGTACAGAACCAGAGTACGAAACCTATTCAATTGCAGAGAGATGTAAGACAGGGTGACGTGATATCCCCGAAACTCTTCACCGCTGCATTGGAATACGTTTTCAAGCTTCTGGACTGGAAAGGATACGGTATTAACATCAATGGCGAGTACATCACTCACCTTCGATTTGCCGACGATATAGTCCTTATGGCAGAATCGTCACCCCACTAGATGGAGTGACGACCTGGTAAGATATGCAGGAAGTTGACGGATGCAGGTGGCTCAGGACCGTGATTTGTGGCATTCTTTGGGGGAGGCCTATGTTCAGCAGTGGACTTATGAAAGGCTGTAATGATGGTGATGATGAAATAATTGTTGTTGTAGAAACATCGATGATGACATCGAAGTTGACATCGACAGCTCATCATCGATGTTCTATGTTTATCCTACTCAAAACATCGATGTTGCCCATTATCGATGTTTTTTGCACAGTATTTAATATGTTAGAATTAGATGAATAAAAAAATTGTCATGTTGTTTATGGTTTATAATTAATGCGTAGATGGAGGATTGACTAGATTAAGCATTCGCGTATGGTTTTGAGATAGAAATAGGCGGAGGTACTTTCACAGGGTTACCAGATATTGTTCCATTTCCCCCGTTATGGGGTTTATTTATATTCACAGCACTTACATTCATACAAAAAACTTAATTGTTACCATAAAAAAAATGTTCTTTTATAATTCAGATGATTAATTAATTTCTCTTAAAAATACATTCTGTGACTAAAAACTACGGGCGGAAACGGCGTAAAAACAGAATCATCATTCTGTATTCAACGGCGCATCGACGATTTTACTGGACATTCAATAACTCTTTGGATTTCGACGGCACTAAGTGAAGACGCTAATTGTACAAAGTGTGATATCGCTAATAAATAACAATATGTTATGTATGTACTTAAATATTAATTGAGAATAAAAATATTGAATAATAAATAAAAATTTCCTTGTGTCGACTTTTGTTGTTTTTACAAAAAAAAAACAATAATGTTTTAATAAACCATTGCATCACAAGTTCAGTGCTGAACACAGACCTTCGAAAGGACAAGGTTTCCACTTAGGTTTTGCAGTACAAAACACGGTTATGATCCTACACCCGCGATTTCCTGCATATTTTGCTAAGTTAGTGTCTTGTGTGCGGCAAGTTGTGGCGTACAAGAGAATTTATCTGTACACGGGATGATATTACCCCGCGTCGTAAGCAATAATACAAGATGGGTATGGGGCAGCAGCACTTTCCCGATGAAAACTTAAAATAATAAATAACTGCGGCGGCCAACCAACATAACACATATTTTCACGCAGGCGTGGCAACTATGGCAAAAGTCATCCTATGAGGATATCTATGGAAGACCTTTTTTAGGTGACTTACTTATGGTTAGTTGGCTTAATCATGTTACCTAATGGTTAAGGTGGTAAAATGTTTAGTTAATATACGTTGTAAATGTTGGTATATAAAATAAAAACGAATGTTTTATAATATTCTATTTTAATTTACCATGCAGTGTAAGATTATCTGCTATCTCATATCATTCCATGGGTGGTGTAAGAGGCGACATAGGGAAACATCAAAGAAGATAAACAGCAGCATTGTCCTGATAACAGCTAAATTAAAAAAACAGTGGTTGACAACCCGCTTTCCAAGCGTTGAAACTATGCCAAATAACTGTAATCATGTTTATGTTCAACAGTGGACTTTTGATAGACTGTAAAGATATATATTCTATTTTAATGAAAATATATTGAAATTTAAAAAGGAAAAAGAACTAAATTTTATGTACTTACACAACATTTAGAAATATTAACAATGTTACATTAAGTAAAAGAAATGAAAACACAATTATATATTAAATATAATTCAATAAAATCTAAATAAACAAACGATTACTTTTAACTGTTTGATCACATTAATAAACAACAAATTTAACAAAATTTTTGTCTTCTTTCCTTGATATAATACGAAACCCATGGGATAAAATGTGATGATGAATTCTCTTATCCTACACTTACACGCCAACTTCGACTGTACTGTGTGTATAACACTAGTTCTGTGTCGAATTCGAAACAACGATTATTAGATTAATGTAATTATAACATGGTCTAAAGAACCATTCTTTCCCTCAAAAAATGTATATGAGAAACATCATTCGGAGTAATTGGCTAAATACTTAACATTATTTAATATAATTATGTAAAATATTATAATTTCTTTATTTCTCCCTGTGTTAACTGATAGAGTATGCCATAAGGCATAAACTTCGGCAATTGTAAACCGTTTATGGTGTCTTACAGTAAATAAAATGTTTAAATCGTGTGTATTTCAGAACAGTATATCACACCGACAAATATTTTTTCAGAACCATCTGAGAAGAAGATTAAATCAAATTTTACTGATTGTAACATAAACGATGTTCGTGAAGAAAGCCTCGATTTTGAAGGCCCTACTATTAAATCAAATAAAAAAAAATGTAAAACCTAATAATTAATGAAAAAGGAAAGCATCTTGATATGAAAAAAGCAATTAAGGCATCAACAAAAGACATTCTCGCTAAACACATTTCATACAGTCATAAGACGCAAAAGAAGTCAGACACCACTGCAGTTCGGACACAAGTTGAACAAACTCCAGTACCACAACAAACAGAAATATTTAATTGTGATATTTGCGAATTTAAAACATCTCAGAAACGTTACATTTTGGAACATCTTAAAGCGCACGTCGCTAAAACAATGTACTGTTGTAATAATTGTGAGTATAAATGTATTAAAGAAAGTGTGTTGCAAAAGCATATGAAAATACACACCGGAGAAAAACCTTTTTCTGTAAATATAGTTGTATCACAAAGAGACGTTTGCAAACACATATTATGAAAATACACACCGGTGAAAAACCTTTTTTGTGTAATATCTGTGAATATAGATGTATCACAAAAAGTTATTTGCAAAGACATATGAAAATACACACCGGTGAAAAACCCTTTTCGTGTAATATCTGTGAATATAGATGTATCACAAAGAGTTATTTGCAAAGACATGTGAAAATACATACTGGAGAAAAACCTTTTTCGTGTAATATCTGTGATTTTAGATTTAGTGAAAAAAGTAGTTTGCAAACACATATGAAAATACACACCGGTGAAGAACCTTTTTCGTGTAATATCTGTGAATATAGATCTATTACAAAAATTCGTTTGCAAACACATATGAGTGTACACACAGGAGAAAAACCTTTTTCGTGTAATATCTGTGATCTTAGATTTAGTATAAAAAGTAATTTGAAAACACATATGAAAATACACACCAGTGAAAAACCTTTTTCGTGTAATATCTGTGAATATAGATCTATTACAAAAATTCGTTTGCAAACACATATGAGTGTACACACAGGAGAAAAACCTTTTTCGTGTAATATCTGTGATTTTAGATTTAGTATAAAAAGTAGTTTGCAAAGACATATGAAATTACACACTGATGAAAAACCTTTTTCGTGTAATATCTGTGAATATAGATGTAGTATAAAAAGTTATTTGCAAAAACATATGAAAGTACACGCCAGAGAAAAACCTTTTTCGTGTAATATCTGTGAATATAGATCTATTACAAAAATTAGTTTGCAAACACATATGAGTGTACACACAGGAGAAAAACCTTTTTCGTGTAATATCTGTGATTTTAGTTTTAGTATAAAAAGTAGTTTGCAAAAACATATGAAAATACACACTGATGAAAAACCTTTTTCGTGTAATATCTGTGAATATAGATGTAGTATAAAAAGTTATTTGCAAAAACATATGAAAGTACACACCAGAGAAAAACCTTTTTCGTGTAATATCTGTCAATATAGCTGTATTAGGAGAAGTGATTTGCAAAGGCATAATCACAGAGTACATTGTATATACATGAAAGGCATAATATGAAAATACACAATGGAGCAAAACCTTTTTCGTGAGCTATCTGGTAAAATATGTACAATATTATGTAATCGTGTTTTGTATAAATATAAAAGTATACCAGATAAAATCTATTTTTTGTGAATTTCTTATGTAATTATAGAACGAGTAGAAAAACCTTTACGTGCCTTATGTGCTAATTGAAACTGCGTTTATCCTGAAGAAGCTAATTTAAGAACCAAAAAAAAATGGAACCTTAGAATAAATACCGAATGGGAGGTTAGTGGAAACAGACTAAACCTTCATGTTTTTTTTAACGATAGTTTATGTTTTATTTTCTTTCGTTTCGTCGTTTAAAAGTCCTTTGCTGAACATAGGCTTTCCCCATGGATTGCGTCATATTTGCCATAGTTGCCATGCACGTGGGTTGGCAATCGCGGTTTTTTATTAATTTCAGTTATAGTCGGGGAGACTGCAGCCCATCTTCTAGTTTGTTTCCCTTTGTCGCCTCTTATGACACCCATGAGCCGATATGGGGTAGTAGATTGTCTTACACCCTATGTCGCGTTATGATGCTGTGTGGTCGTCTCTGTTTACACGTGGTAGAGCCACGCTGCAGCTATATTATGGTTGTAGTACTAATGGATTGGCTCGACCGGGATAGTACCATGCTCTCACGTAATACCATCATAAAATGACAGCTTTCGTGAGAACATAGTGTTTCGTATGGTGATTGTAGAATTATTCCATTTAAAAAAAATCAACGATTATCTGAGATCCACACCGGCTTGAAACCATTAAAGTGTGAGGTATGCTAGAAATGCTTTAAGGATCTCCATGAAAAGCGGCTCCACTTAACAAGCGTTAATTTGAAGAAGCCGTAGTCAAAACGCGCGAGAAAGAAGTCGACGGAATCGCGACAGGTCAGTATTGTTGCGTGCGGACTAAGTAAATTCTTCCATCCACTCAGCAAGTATATAATGACGTCGTCCAGAACTCGGCAAGTTTCTTCGGTGAGATATTATGGTCGTAGCACGAATGAGTCAGCTCACAGGGAAAGAACCACGCTTTTAAAAAATTTACCAGCGTGAAATGGCAGCTTAACGCTGCTCTGTTTCGTATGCAGAGTGTAGAGAACCGGAGACCCTTTTTACTATTACTGTAGCATTTCATCTACTAAACATAGGCTTTTCCCGTAGATAGTCTCATAAGCGGGATAGTTAGTCGCCAGAACAATGTTGCTTTACCCATCTCCTGTTTTAGTTTTCCTCAGTCGCCTGTTACGACACCCGCGGGATGATATTTCCATCATGCGGTGGTTAAAAAGGACTTTACTTCTCTTAAATAGCTTCCTCGTTGCCTTGTATAATCATGCCTAACAGAAAACTTCAAATTCTCTATATTTAAACATCTTCAATAACACAAATTTATCATCTTTACAGCACTCGCCACAATAATACGTAATTTTTCAAATCTACCCTCACACGACATTTTTTTTTATAGGTTAAGGTGACAAACGAGCACACAGTCTACCTGATGGTAAGTGGTTGCTGTGGCCCATAGATATCTATCTACATTTATCCTCGCTTGCGAATCAAAATGCAGATGCGTTGTTACCCGTGAGGACTAAGATGGAATGCTTCTTTTCCAGTATAAAGGGTCTCCGGTTTTCTACACTCACCATACGAAACACAGCAGTGTTAAGCTGCTATTTTACGCTGGTATTCTGTGAGAGCGTGGTCCTTCCCCGGTCGAGCCGACCCATTCGTGCTACAACTATACTATTAATATAGCTGCAGCATGACTCTACCACGTATAAAATAGCTCAACCCACCTACTTTGGATGCATTAAAATGTAGCAGACAGTTGAAATTAATACTATTTTTTTTAAATAAAAGCAGTACTGTGAATCAAAACTATAAACTTGATTATATTTGTACCAATAAGTAAAAACTCTGGTGTTCAGTAAAAGGAGTTCTAAAGATTCTTTAGTTTTAATAAAGGAATTTAAACATTGTACAAGTTAAGAAATGGTTTGTGTAATTAACTATTTTTAAGGAAAAATGTAAATAAATGTAAGAAAACCATTGTCTTTTTTCTTTATCCGTAGTTTTGGGGGTCGGAAATCCCAACACTACTCAAAAACAGTCAAGCTATAACTACAGTGGGACTATAGCCACCCTCGGTTATAGCTTGACTGCCTCGTTGGTCTGAGTCATAAATGCGGTTGCTGGTCATGAGGTCCCCGGGTTCGAATACGGCATTCAACGTCAATAAAAACTTTTTAACAAAAAAATTAAACCGCCGAAAAAACTGAAAAGCAAAAAATAATAAACATTTTTATTTCATCTTAATAACTAAGTTCTTAAACTAATTTAAGTATAGCTAAGTATATATTTTGGTAATTATTTTGAGTTTTTAACTAACCTTAATAACAAAGTTCTAAAACGAATGTAAGTATACCTAAGTAATTTTGAGTCGGCGCCAAACAAGCAAATTAATTAATTATGTAAAGCGTAATGCGCGGCATTGTTAATTTGATTTGGTTATTTCTTTAATGGTGTAATTTACTGGTCTTTGTTCATTGACCCTGGGGGCCGCGGGTTCGTATCCCGTACGGAACAAGTATTTGTATGGCCTGCAAATAATTGCTCCGGGTCTGGATGTTTGTCCTTATGCAATTTATTTTATTTATTTTTATTTGTATTTATTTATTCTTTATTGCATTCCTTAATCGAAAAGAATACAAAGGGCGGACTGGCGCAGTGGTGAGAATTTGAAGTAGGTGTAGCAATATAGAATAAAAAGAAATGATAATTAATTACTATTAATAATAATTTTTATACGTGGTAGAGCCATGCTGCAGCTATATTAGTAGTGTAGTTGTAGCACGAATGGGTCAGCTCGACCGAGGAAGGACCACGCTCTCACAGAATACCAGCGTAAAATAGCAGCTTAACGCTGCTGTGTTTCGTATGGTGAGTGTAGAGAACCGGAGACCCTTTTTACTGGAAAAGAGGAATTCTATCTTAGTCCTCACGGGTGACAACGCATCTGCATTTTGATTCGCAAGCGAGGACAGATGTAGATGTCTATGGGCCATAGCAACCACTTACCATCAGGTGGACTGTGTGCTCGTTTGTCACCCTATCCTATAAAAAAAATAGTACTATTAATAATAATTTATGTTTGTAAACTGCCTCCACGATACAGGAGAAACTCCTAGTGTGGGGGTAACGTTTTTTTTTTTTAAAAAAAAAAACACTTGAAAGACTTGTGTTTCATAAACAATTTTTGGCTTGGTAGGGTTCTATAAAGCGAAAAGTTTTTTCATTGGTCATTATTTCTGCCATTATGAGAAACTAGTTACGATGCGTGCATATAAAATTAAAATCAGATGCGTGCGATCACTCTGGGAGCTCGTAGCAAACTGAACGTGCGGCCAACGTGTGGACGCGGTGGCCAATACTCTGCCACAACCATTTGATCTTTTGTAAAAAACCGACACCAGACGGATCTCGCGCCAACTTGTGGGCCATCGTTCCAATACGTACCAACGTAGCTTAAACACCCGCTTTACACGATGGCCATCGTTGTTGGCCGACACATTCGCCAGTGTGTTGGCCAACGTGAAGAGCCGCCGTAAAAGATAGCGATGGATGTGTGAAGTGGTAGCAACTTTTCAAGGTACGAAGGGTTATGGCGACATTGAGCGCAGGATGTTGCCGATAATTTTATGCTGAGCCGTCACAGTTCACAAATTACAAGGTACGATCCTTGATAAAGCTGGAATCGACCTCGGAAAGAAAGTGTTTGTCGGCAGGCATATGTGGCACTGAGTAGAGTGAGATCAGTTAAAGCAATACACTTGAGGGTATTGCTTTATCTGATCTAGAGCCAAATAAGGTATTACACAAACCTCACGATGAACGAGCTTTAGCAGAAATGCAGAGACTGAGAGATCTACACACAAGAGACTTACAGGTGTAAAGCTCATTTATCGTGAGGTTTTTTGTAATATAACGTAATGTAGTTATTATGTAATGTAGTAATACACAACTCAGCATTAGAATATGTGAGTAAACAATAAATCACCCCTATTTTACCACCCTTAGGGTAGACATTTTGTTTTCAAATTTATATGGGACCTATTTCGGGGTATACCCTATCTAATAATAAAAGAATTATCAAAATCGGTCTACTATGGATAAAGTTATGCGTGGTCATACATAAAAAAAATATACTTACACGTCGACTTGAGAACCTCCGTTTTTTCATCGGTAAAAAATAAAGTTATTGAGTTTTTCTGTCGAGAAACTCCCAGTAGCTAAGATAACTCACACTATACAATATGTAACAAAAACCCTGTGGTTCCCGTTAAGTGCGTTATCAGAATCAGTATTCAAATGTATAGAAATAACTTTACTTCAGAAAACTAGACATAAAAATATTCAAAATTTTATTTAAATATTTGTAAATTTTATGTGGATTGATTACCTCTGCCTGGAATTATCAAGCAAATAAAGCGAAACAGCAAGCAGCGGCGGCGTACATCAAAGAAGGGGCGGTCATACCTACACTAACTGCACTAAGGTCATGACCTCGTCACATTACTCAGCTGTTATCACTATAGTAGTCGATTATCACAACTTTTTAAATTTTATTTCGACCGATTGTGGTAATTATGCTTAAACACTAATTCATCACTATGTCTACTTGAGGACCACGAAGATGTTTCACATTTCCCAAGACACATCAACGTATTAAAATATTCCTCGTAAGACATCGTACCACAAGTCACGGCGGATACTTAATTTCGCAATATAAAAAGCAGATCCGTCCGAAAGTAATTTACGCGGATGATAACAGCTATCAATATCAGCGCTAGCTCACTACTGGTGCTTTTGTTTGTTGTGCGTGGACGTGGCAAAGCGACTGTACTACAACATAATTTTGAAATTTTCTGAATCGAGGAAATTTGTTGTGATTTTGATGTAATTTTTTAATAATAGTTATTATTTAATGAT